ATACACGTCGATTTAATTTATTTAATTTATTTAATTTTTTAAATAGCCAAATCCACAAACAAAAAGAAATATTTTAACTTTTAAATATATTTAAGTTACAATTTGAAAAATTGAATAAATTAAATAAATCTTTAGAAAAAAATAAATAAAACATCAAAATCTATCAATTTTAATTTACAAATGCTTTTTGCAATAAATATTTGAATTGAAAATTAAATCATTTGTGTTTGTTTCTTTTTACGAAATGATACCTAAAGGACCCTCGATCATATATATATATATGTAAGGAAAGTAAGGTAGATGGCCCCAATCCCTAAGTGTAAAGCATTCGTTCGCAAGAACTATATTTTTAACACCTGAGACATGTGCGGAGGATAGAGACCATTTTACTCCATTTTCCACTTCTTTTTTGGAACAAACTCTGTGGCATTATGTCTTTTTTGATTTTTGCTTTTTGGGCTACTATACAACTTAACTTAGGGTTTGGGAACAGAGACCTTCGGATGACCTGCAGATGGGAGGTACACAGCGGTTTGCAATGGGGCTGCGCCCGAGGGTCCCTCCGTCTCTTTGAGGCCCGGTGGTTGTGAAGTCCAGCGAACCTCCGCGCTGTTGTCCGAAAGCCAGCTCCGGGCCTCAGACGTTGCAATGGCTTCGGACCTTTAGACACCGAAGTGGCTCACGTGCCGCGGCCAGAACGTGCCGCACATGCGGTTAGGACAAGTGGAAAGCAAACCATGACCTCTCTACACCTCAAGATGAAATTCAGTGGTAAACATGTAGATCCCACCAAACATTTGCAGTCCCTTAGTTCCTAGTTATTCCTAGTTCCTCGCCACATATTAATTTGTGTTCCCTTGTTGCCAGCATTGAGGCACATCGAGGGCTGTCAGGCACCGTGGCAGCTGGCAGCAGAGTTGCGGTCAAGAGATTGCATTTCAACGCAACAGAAGGTACTTTGGATCCTGAGAGTGCCATGAATTTGGGATCAAGCGTAGCAGCAGCCGAAGTTGGGATCATCCATGCACCATTGAACAACAACTTCCTGGAGTACATGCATGGGTAAGCACCTAATTAAGTTTCTTAGCCTGGCCACTCTCAAGTGAGCACATTAAGCTATGTGAGCACAAGATGAAGTTGACACTTCAACTATAAAGAGATCCTTGGGTCTTCCAATGTCTTGGAGATCTCCTCGGCCTGATTCTTGGTCTCCAACGTCTCGCTCCCAACGAGGCACGCCCCACCCACCGAGGCGCGATCCTCGACGCGGTGCGCGGGGTGGACCAGGCGATCCTTGTCGATGCCTCCCGGCCGAAGCTCGTTCGGTGCGACCCGAGACCTGCGGAGACCTGTCGGTCGGATACGGAGATGTCTTCGGGCCATGTCACATCCAAGGCCAAAAGGAGATGAGAGCCGGGTGCGCTTCAGAGAGGTGTGGGCGACTTTTGGGGCGACCCAAAGGTGATGTGGTGCCGCGGATGTTGGCCAAACATAAAAGAAACATCGTTTTGTGCTACCGGATGGGTGGTTGACTTTGGTGGAAGTTGGGGACGGGCAGGACGTGGGACCCAAGTTCAAGGAAGGCGACTCGGTGGAGTACAGGCCGACACCTGCCTCGCTTGAGCGAAGCCGACACTTGACGCGTCGGATCAACGCAGCTGCTCTTCTCAAACCGTTCCTTGCCAGTGGAATTTGAAAAGACCAGTGAACAGAAGTGATCTCACTTTCTGATGTGACATGTGTTTTTTTGTTATACCAAATCGGCATGCAGTGGGCTCCTCAATGAATCAAGCTTTGTGGCTCTCACTGTCCACTGTCTCGTGAAAGGAGTGCCAGTACCGGCTGGATCCCGGCCAAGGTCCTGGTCGGAGGGGGGGGTCATGATTGGTAGCAGATTGCAGTGGTGGCGGGGTGATGTGAAAGAGGGTCTCCATGGGCTGTGGGTCAAAGCCCCGGACCCCTGGTTGACCACAGAGAATGAACAGAATAGACGACTACGGAGGTCAACCTACCAGTGATATCAGGAATCTGAAGACTTGATGTGGCGGTTAAGACACTTGATCAGATGCCGATGTTTGAAGATGTTTCCTTCTTTTACTGTCGGCCTGGCCCAAGCTGATCGGCAGGTCCTGAAAGTGAAGGGCGACCTCTATGATTTGGACTGCAAACAAGATGTGCCACAAGTAGGATCCATTCGAGGAGAGCTCAAACTTGTTCATTGCTTCTCTCTCTCTCTCTCTCTTTCGCGCACAGGTACCTCCTGATAGAATGCGCATGACCAAGGAGCACCTGCATGGAACTATGACTCAAACTGGCTGTGTATGAAAAAAAGGGAGACCTCTCAGTTCGACGCCCTGGAAGAAGGACAAAATAGACCAGTCTACCCAGCCAGGGCCAGGGGGTCTCCCGGATTTAAAACATCCATTTAGAGTCAACTTTGGATGGAGCCCCATTCTTTGGAATGTTCTGTTCGCTTTTGCACGCAGGACTCGGAGAGTGCTTTCAGCTCTGGCCAGAGGCTCAGAGGCTCATGGCCTGTTGGAACTACAGATTGGTTCTGGGGATCTTCAGCCATGGAAGATCATGAACAGGTATATAAACAAATGTAAATCATTGTCACCAACAACGATCTAAAATATGTCCCTGATCCTGGTTTAGGTGCACAACATCATTGATTCACCTGTGCGCAACTGCACCATCGGGGCGTGAAACACGCTTGCTTCCGCCAAGGTGATTTGGTGGAATACTTCAGCGCCAGTCAGGCGAATTCCCTCGTCGCTTCTCGATCGAACCCGGTGGAACGTGGCCGTCCGCAGGGCAAGTGGATCCCGGCGAAGGTCCTGTCGCTGGGGCCGAGCAAGAAGAAATCATCGCGCGTGCGTGGTGGCGGGTGGTGGAAAAGGGGGGGGGATTGTTGGAGGTCTGTGGATTGAACGTCGCTCGTTTGGGGCTTTCAAAAAGTTCCAAAAAACAATCGATGAAGCCCCTCAAAACCGGCGTTCCGTTGAAAGCGGAAGGGGCGGCGTCCGATCTTTGGGTTCATGTTCCACCAGGTTTTTGCCTTCAAGGAACTCGTTGGGTTCATGTTTGGCGTCCGACTTGGACCTTCCGTTGGTGAACAGTTGATCTTGGACTCAACAGCAACATGATGCAACATGCGGAGGCCATCCACACGTCGAGCCACACGTGTGTCGTGTGGCGAAGTTCGAATTTCCCATGCCAAGGCTTCGAAAGCAGGATCGGAGACTGGATTTGGATTGCAAGCAAGATGCCTCGGCCTCAGAGCTTCAGCTGCAAACACACTGTCCTTTTTTAAAAGAAACAGACACCACGCACAGAGAAACCAGTCCAGTTGCACAAAAACTGTTACACTGTTGCACCCTGTTCCTTACTATGGCTCAAAGTTGGGTTCACCCATTTTATAGAGGACACATCTGGCCTCATATGGCCAAGTTTTCCTGTGTTTTCCTTCTTCTCTTTTGTCTGTGTCGTTTCTCTATTTTTTTGTTCACTTTCCATCGTGTGGTGCCAGTTGTGGTGCGAGAATTACATCAATCATGCAGCAACCCCTGTGAAGCTCCATTTCCTGAACCATCAGAAAGCTCATGAACACCTTAGTGAACACCTTAGGTCAATCTAAGGATGTTTCTTGAGGGCCCGCAACAGACCGCGCCGCAGGTCGTGATCACGAACGTCCGAAAGCCAGATGTCACCGCTGCTACGCCTCAGCCTCAGCCGTCTCTATCAAGAGACAAGCTCCGACAAGCCCGAACAGAGAAGGTTCTTGAGGTTGAAGCCAGACAAGCCCATGAAGATGCAGTTGCCTCAGGTGAAACAGGGTAAAACATCGACTGAGGCATCCTAGATTGGGTGGCCTGGTGGACCAAATATTTTGGCCAGGAGGAATTGGGGACCAATTGCACCTGCATAATAAAATCTGCAATGTACCTCTATAGACCAATAGACCATTCTAGACCATGGCGTAGTTCTTTCAACCGATTCTCAAGTAGAGCACCTTGCTGGGATTGGGAGGTCTCCTGACTGTCTCAGGTCCTTTGCGCCTGGCGATATGCTCAGATTTCCGGATGAAACATCCAGATCTGGCGACCGTGTCAGGTGGATGTAGTGCATGTCTTGAAACGAAATGGGATCTGTTGGATCTATTTGGTCGATGAATGATTGAACAAAACGATTGCTGGTGAAAGGAAACGAGCAAACAAGGATCGACATGGATTGACCGATGGTAAAGAGATGTGAAAAAGGATGCCTGACTCGCCTTTGTCCCAATCGAATACGTGGGAGGAGATCTTTACCCAGCAAAGAGTTGGATTACGCTAGAGGTGCTCCTTGAGGGAAAGGTACCCAGCACCGCTCCCTTACAATGGTTTCAGAGTACCAAGAGATCCCACCAGGTTCTGTAGGCCCCTTCCTAAATCTTCCTCTCCCCCATCATTGATTTGGTGGGGGTACTTTTGACGGGCTTGTATTTTTTGGGCTGTCAATCTTTTTGTTTCGAGTTGACAGGGTCGGTTTGGTTCTCATCCAGGATAGGAGGATCACTTTCATTCAATTTCATGGGCCTCCCACCACCCATCACAGAAGAGGAAGGAAAGACCAGGGCTGTACGGAGACCGAAGACCAGGATCACGGTGAAGGCAGGCGTGTTGTCGTTTCAGGACGCACCAACCTGGCATGGGGCCATACCCCATTGCAACAACGGCTCACACAAGACAAGAGTGGCTTGGATGGTGTGCAGAGCTGGTCGCTGAGTACAAGCAACGGCACCAGGCCTTGGAATGGAAAGGCCTGCAGAGTGAAGAAGCTCAGGAAGTGGGAGAACAAGAGCAGGACACTTGGGCTTCAACTGGGCCATTGCATCTGAGAGGCTATTCACAATGGACCTGAGTCATGCTGAGCACCCCAATGCAGATATGACTCCACTGGGCCTGCCCTCAGCATGTTGTCAGTGCCTACACATCAGTTCTGTCTTGACCACGCTGGAAGGCGAGTGAAGCATGTGCACGGGACCTCCAAGAATCTAGCCATCAATCAGATCATATTTGACACTCACAGTCACAGGTTCCAGTGAGTTCTTGATCGCTGTAGCTTGACGATCTGCTCATACAACTTGGTCTGGGCAAATGCCGCCTTTGAGACCACTTGAAAAAAACCTGTGGAACGGGCAGGAGGATTCAGACTGAATATGTGGGTCCAAGTATGTCCACACGTGCATTTTCCACAGACTGGCATTATCATACCAAACGCAAGGTGCTTGTTTGAAAACATACCAGCTTAGTTGAAGACTTACAGAGGTATGACCCCAGGATCTCTCCAGCACGGTATCCAGCTATATGACGACCAGATGTACAAGACATCATGCGAAGAGTGGTGGTGAGCGGAACACGGCCGGAACATCCGTTTGGTTTTGCACCGCGAGTACTTGTAATTACTCTGAAACCACTGTAACTTGAAATAAACTAGATGCCTCATAGGTGCCCCTGTTGTTTCGATCTTCGCATCAGTGACCTTTTGCAGCATCACGTTCCACACACACACACACACTCACTGAAATATTCATGGGAGTGGACAATGGCTTCGTGGATGACCATTTTCCTCTACCGACCGGTGGTTTTCCACTTCTAGGATTATTTCAGGGCGTATACGCCCCAAACGTAGTCAGGCTGCCTCACACGAAGACTCCAAAGCCGGCTGAGCAACTGCGGCAAAGACCGGCAATAATTTCGCGGCCTCCCTGACACTCCAAAGCCTGGTATGTCATTGATTTTCCTGAGGCGATCACGTGGAATATTACAGCTCCAGCCAGGCGACCGCATGTGACACGCGCGACACGTGCGCGTTCGAAAAACCAAAACGAGACTGCGTTGAAAAGAACACTTGACAAAGTTTGGTTTGCAGCTTTGGGAATTCAAACACCCTAGTAGCAGTGGCCTCAAAAAACTGGCCGTGTTTCGGGCCTTCGGGTTCCAACCCAGTCTTGAAATGATATGATCACGAATTTAAATATTGAAACTCCATGATAACATATGATAACGAAAATGCCGGTGTTCCTGTGGTAAGTGTTTTGTGTGCTCACCCGACGGAAAACTTTGAAAGCAGCGTTCCATTGGAGCAAACCATGATAGTCCATCGTGCGAGGATACCTTGGTTGACCTACCTGGAAGGTTGTGCTAGGGTTGCAGCTTCGGCTGTTCAAAAGGGTGCAGCTTTGTCGGACAGGGATTCCTTCGGATGAGGCATGGGCCTTCGCCCACCGATATGACGAGTCGCAGGGGTCCAATATGGAAAACAACCCTGAGATCATTGCATGAACACCTTGCCACATCACTCATAGGATCATAGGGGTGTTCTTTGAGTAGATGTGCTGAAGTCATGGAAACATAGGAACATCAGTCAGACAAAGTCTCGTGGACGCGGACGCATGGGAGGCCAATTGGATCTCAGCCACCGTGCGGCGATGAACTGAGACGATGGGATAAAGAAATGACACGATGGACTCTTGTTCGACTAAACTGTATACTGTACTCTTAATGTGTGTGTTTTAGTTGTTTTTAGGTAAGCTTCAAACATGTTGTTTTGTGCATGCGCCTTTCAAGTTCTTCATCTGTTTCTTTTGTTGCAGACTTCTCACTTGCAAAGGGCCGTGAAAGCCGGTCGCATTGACCTGGACTGCAAGCCAGACGCCCCTGGGCTGAGTCGATCGAAACAGATCGAAGCCGAAATCAAGATATGGATATTTAAACATGTTTAAATCTGGGAGACCCCCCGTGGCCCAGTCGGTAGACTGGTCTATTTGGTCCTTCTTCCAGGGGGTCGAACTGGGAGGTCTCTCATATGACGCCGTGGAAATCCGAAGATGGGCGAATCACATCGAGACAGAAGACCCAACCTGCCTTTGTGGATCAGAGTTTTTTTCATTTTGGTTCCGGGGTCAATTCTGATATCCCCTGGCATTGGCATGGGAAATATGCTTGTTTTACCGGTTAAGCAAATCCAGCACAACTTTAGGATACCTTTGGGGACACGCCGGGGGAAAGTTGCAACCACCTCTGATTCATGTTGGTTTCTTTCGCTTTTACCTCTTATGGCAGGTTTTCGAACACGTTGGCGGAAAGTATGTCAGGTTCATTTGATTGGAGGCACGGCATTTGTTGGAGCGATAATCCCAAACGAACCAACTAAACTCGACCGAGGTCCTGCCCGAACACGTGCGGCGACCTCTACCACCACCTGGATCTGAACCTTTGTTTGGACCTGAGTGGCTCCTTTAGCCTCAGTGTGCATGCAGCTCGTAGATAGATCTCTTTGCATGAATCTCCCAAGACCCAGGACTGTTTCAAGGACCCCGTGTTGTGCATCTTATAAGATGACCTCAACTTAACTGTTCAAGCTGTGATCCAGGCATCCAGCATCATCCAGCATTATCCAGCTCTCCATGAGGCCCACTCTCTTGGAGCAAGGCCAAGCCGTCGAATACTTCGGCGCCAAGCTACAACGTTGGATTCCCGCCAAGGCTCCGCCCGGTCCGCCCGTCCCAGGCTAACCTGCGCCTGGGTTCGACCGGTCGAAGACGGCGGAACCATGAACTTGCCGATCAGTTGGGGTGGTTTCAGGCGTAGAATGTATGTGCCATACATGGAGTGTCTGGGATAGACTTACCATGACTTACCTACAGGCGGCCAACCGGGCTACAGCTTTTGACCCACACCCACTTTGTGGCCGATCACTTCCGCTCGGTCCGGTCAAGCCTCGATCTCGGCCGATGAGGTGCTGAAGCGGAACTCCGATGGCACCTACGACTTGGACTGCAAAACCAATGTGCAACCTGCAAAGGTGCGAAGGCTGAAGGCACACCTGCTGTTTCTGCCGTTGCTATTTGGGTGTTTTTTTTTCGTTTTTGGTCGCGAAGATGCCGCTTGGGTGCGTCTTTTTTCAATTCAAGATGGGTAAGGTGCGACCTTGGCATCTTTTGTTGCGACCTTTCTCGTTGCGCCCAGACCCAGCAAGATTTTTGAGAGACAGGAGTGAGACGACATCTTCTTCAGAGAAAGAAACACCGTTCACCACCCGAGCTCTCCGACCTCGCCGACCTCGTCGACCGCCAGTCGGCCTCGCTGGAAAGCTCGCCCTCGAGTGGACGACTCAGTGAGACACAGGTCGACACCGGAGCTCAGGTGTGACCCTCAGAGCACATCGGATGGAATCAGGTACCGTCACATTGGCCCCCTACAAGGAGGGTGACCGGGCAGAGGGCTGAGACCAGTGACCGACGCCACAAGAGTCTGAGTCGGAGTGACCAGTGACACATGAAGACCATGAAGGTGGAGTACTTCAGTGGTTCACAGAGCAGGCGCGGCCGGCGGTGCATCACGGCGCCGTTGGATCGCGTCTCGTCTTCCTCGCCCTGCGCCAGGTGGATCCCTGCAAGGGTCCTGGGCGTGACGCCGGAGGGCAGATTTCATTTGGACTGCAAGTGCCGCACTTGGAATTTTGGCGGTTGCATGGGGTTGCTTCTTTGTAACTTTGCTTTGGTGGTAGCAGTAGCAGTAGGAGTAGTAGTAGGAGGAGTAGTAGTAGTAGTAGTAGCAGGAGGTGGAGGAGGAGTAGGAGCAATCAGCAGCAGTTAGTAGGAGTTCATAGTAGTTAGTAGTAGGAGGAGTAGTAGCAGTAGGAGCTTTAGTAGCAGTAGCAGCAGTAGCAGCTCAGGTCCGATGTTCCCGCTGAGAAGATTCGACCACCATCCAAAAAGACATTGGACTACCAGGCAGCAGACTCTTTCGATGGAATGCATGATGGACAGCACAGACCAAAGTCGTGTCAATATCAGGGAGGATCAGAATTACCTCCAAAATTCTTGTCACCATCTTTGGGATGATTTGTGTTTGGTTGTTGTCCCTAGCTTCAAGTGGATGAGCATCAAGTCAATCATGACCCCTTTTTGGACCCTCAACTCGAGTGACTGCCGGGCGGCGCCGTCCTGCGGCCGAAGTCGAGACCGCGCCTCCCCGTCGCGTGGGCCCTGCAGGTGGGAGACGTGGTGGACTACTTCGGAGCTTCCAAGGGCCTTTGGATCTCGACGAAGGCGGGTGGTGGAAAAGAAAGGCAGAGACGGCCAAACGGCTATGAACCGAAAGGAGCAACTGAAAGTCTTGGATTCAATGCCTTTATAATTCCAGTTGTCTGTCAACGCAAGGTTCTGAAGATCAACGAGGATGGCACATTCGATCTCGCATGTGCCTGGAATGCAGAGTCGTCCACAGCTCATTGCTCATCTCTGTTGAAAAGGATACTCGGGGTGGCTCTTCCAGCCTACTCAGCTTACAGAAGTGTCATCCAAGAATTCTGCCAGATCCGATTCAGAACACACGTGAACAGTCAGAGAAGCACGCCCGGCACGTTCGCCACGCGTCGGAGTAGTAACTTACTGTTGATGGACCATGATGAACCCTTCAGCCTTGTTTCTACTAGCTTCTTGTTACTACTAGTAAGGCACCTGTTCCTAGTAGCGTGGCACTTGTTCCTAGTAGCTTCTTGTTTCTGCTCCTCAAACACACATGCTTTCTCCTCCCTGTGTTTGGCCAATGGACAGACTGCAGACCCATGGACAGACCGCTTCTTCGCTCACCGCACGGTCGGGGGCGAGGCAAACCACGCGTGCTGCCAGAGAACATGAGGAAAGCGGTTTCCACGACGGAGGTGCGGCTTCACCAGGTCTTGGGTGGCCGACTAACGCTGGTTGGATGAGAAGCGGTGGCCCAAAAAATCTTGAGCATTGGAGACTTTGGTGATGTTTGGATCGCATTGGATCCCATTGGTTTAAGTTCCGTGTAGTTTTGTTGAGTTTTGGTGGTGTCATTGAGCCATAGCTCTGTGTGACCTATTGGCATTTTGTGAGCCTATGGTTCGATGGTTGATGTTTTGACCACTGTCAAAACTCAGTCAACTGTCCTACTGAGTCCTACTGTCATTTGTGACCACTGTCAACATATATTCAAAAACACATGATTGACGTTTGGTTCACCTCTCAGACAGCCAGACAGCGGACCCGCACCCGGACAGCGTTCGCAGCCAGGCGTTGGAGAAAGGCCTTGTGGGAGACCGGTTTGCCAAGCGGATGTTGTTTTGGTCTTGGAAAGAAAACACCATAATTGTGCCGTCATGTGTGTGTACACTTTGGAGTCATAGGTAACCTGGTGGTTCTAGTTTGCAGGGGGGGGGCGTGTGGACCATCCATGTGCTGTGAGCGATGGTCCAACGAAGCGGCCACAACACATGCGGATATGATGTTATAGCCACGTCCCACTCTACTTCCAGGCTGTTTAGGTTGGCCTCAGGTCGGCAGATGTGAGCGTTCGTCGTCGATCTCGTTGCACTTTTGGAGTTTGAGACCTGCACCTTTGGAGCTTGAGACTTGCACGTTTAGATTCATGGTCAGGCCACCTTACTTTGCTTAGGTTCAAGGTCCCGAGGTACTTGACCGGTTGACCGGTTTGCTCAGACCGCTTCCGCCTCAGACGCTTTCAAACCTGCGCAGGTCCCGTCTTCAACCTTGGAGACTCCGTGGAATACTTCGGGGTGAGCCAGAACCGATGGATCCCAGCAAAGGTGGTCTCCATGACCAGTGCAGGGAACTACAACCTGGATGTGAAACAGGAATCTGGATCTGGAGGGGACATCGATGGGAGTGATGAGATTGATTAGAATGACTGGAGGTCGAGGTGGTGAGAAGCTTTTGGAGTAGAGGAGTTCGTTTGTTTCAGCGCTGCTATCCAATGGCAGAATTTGGTGTGGGTGGTGGTCCTGGCGGCGGTGGTGGTGACAGCTGAGGTGGTGACGGTTGAAGTGGTGACGGTAGAAGTGGTGATGGTTGAAGTGATGATGGTCAAATGTCAATCTTTATATTATATGTATGATATGACCAACGATCATGTAATATCATGTCATGATGTATACTAATAGCTTATCTTCTGTTCTTCTTCGTGTCCACTTTGGTTTTGGATCGACTCTGCCCTGTCGATCGCAGGATGTTCCAGTCGATCGCATACGCTCCGGACTGGCGCGTGCGGATCGGCCAGCGCCCGGTGATCCAGGACCCGAGGGCGACCCATCGGCCAACGGGGTGGGTCGACTCGGAAAACCAACGGGGTGGTTGGTTCGCCTCGTGGTTTGGGAGGACTCCAGCGGTAATATACCCAGAATATTCTAGAATTACCCCAGACGTTGCAACGCAGTATGTATCGTGGGAGATAGATGTGTGGTCTTCACATGTCTTCACACGGCACACGGAGTGTAAGATACGGTTTCTCTTGGTCGACCTTCTTAATTAGATGAGTTCTTAGATGGGGCACTTTTTTCCAAAGTCCAGCAGCTCCAAGATCAACCGCGATTTGGAGAGAAAAGACCGTTATAAAGTGTTTGGGTCCCTTAGTAAGGCATCCTGTAAAGATTTTAAAGGTGGCCTTGTAAAAGGGGCCCTTACGTTCTTTTCAACAGCAAACATTTTTGACATTCTTTCGGATGCCCACACTTCCACACCTCCAGGATCTCCAAGTCAAATACGAGCTGCTTCAGCTGCGATGCAACCAGGATCAACACTTTCTGCTGCAGGGGCCTTAGCAAAGATTGTGTGACTTGGAGCAGCACGTTTGGGCCACATGCATCAGACTTGCTGACAGGAACACCTGTGCACACGTTCTTTTGTATGAACCGGATTATCTCATCGATAAATCGTTTGGAGCAGCATACACAGGATTAACATGGATTGTAAATATAAGTAATTGAGTCACATCCAGGCAGGTGACTCACCTCCAGATCAGACCTTGAGGTACGAATGAGGCCGAACAGGCAGTTGTGGAAAGCTTTGGACATATTTGGAACATACATGGGTTTTTGGGGGTGTCACTGGCGGACTACCAACCTATTTTTGCAAGGGGGGGACAGAGAGAGGGACTAAGTCCAACATCTCTGACTAGCTCCCAAGCACATCCAAGATCTACAGCTACCCAGTGAGGGTCACACACGGCGTGTTCACCGTGTTCACCCCGAGGTCGCAGCTCTGCCCGAGCCCCTGCAGTTGCTCCGCTACACCCGACGCTCCGGGCTCGCGGGCGGGTGCGCCTGTGCGAAAGAGCCGTGGGGAATTGGCTGCTGAGGTTGAAGCTGAATCTTGACATTTATTATATGTATTGAATGCACGTCTCTCTCTCACATACAATAAGTGTAGACACATGTAGACTATTGATTAATAAACCCACCAACTGAATTGAAACAACTCTTCAAATGAGGTGAGTTATTAATCGAGAGGAGTGTACACTATGTATGTCCTGTATGTCCTCTATGTTGCTTTGAGACAGATCCGGCCTTCACCGATGGCTGCGTTTTGGCATCGTTTTGAAGCCAAAAACGGGGGAGACCGACCTCTTAGGCGTTCCGAAAAATGGAAGACATAGACCAGTCTACCCAGCATATGGGGCGAGATGGGGCGTATGACAATGTCTCCCGGATTTAAAACTCTCCCCGATACTCCCCGCGTGTATGACAACACCGTACAACACCTGCGTCACTGGTCTTGCTCAAGGTGCCGAGAAAGGTGAGAGCCCCCACCTGACAGGACCTGTGCCCGAGGAGTGTGGAACAAGGTACATAGCTTGCAGGTGCTGCACAAGGCATGACATGTACATAAGATTACATAAAAATATGTAAACTACGTAATACAATTCCAATCTATTCACAATATGCTATATACTAGTACTGTACCTGATGTTGATATATGTTGATAGATACTCGCATCTCCTATCCATTGCCTAAAGCCACAAGCCAGCCATGGATCCAGTGTACAACGATCTATGACTCACGACTAGGCTGGGAGACTGCTGAGTGGTGCGTCTCATCGAGTCTGGATGATGTGGTGGGTTAAACAGGGGGACCCTGTTTTTTCCCACCGAAAGTGAACAGGTGACCTGCGAGGTCAACTTACATGTCACGTTTTGACTTCGTGCGGATCGATATTTTTCACGTGATCAAACTATACTATACATAGACTGCGCTCAAAAGATCGTTCCTGGTGCGGATCGACAGATCGACGGGCCCTCCGAGGAGGACATTGAGAACACATATTGCGCGATGGATGGCGCCCATCCGTTCCGTCCAAGATCCTCCCTGACTCCCGCAGGAGATCCCAGTTGCGCTACCCCTGTGAATCTTTCGCTAGAACCTTGCTAGAACAATGTTCATTGAAAAACATTGAACCAAAGAACGACATTCTGATGTTGCAAGGTTTTGAACTACTGTAGATGATACTGCAGATCATTGTAAGCTACAAAGTCTCATCAAATCATGCATGGCTCCAGGGTTCGTTGTGGTCGTTTGTGGCTCCAGCATTCTTTGTGGTTCGGGCCACAGGCAACGGCCAATTCCCATGAACATCGCTTTGGGAGTGAAAGCCACGGCTCAGCCGCCTCTCTTGTTCTCGGATGAATGCATCTGCTCCCGGAGCGTGGAAGTCGATTTTGGCGACCTCCGCAGTTCCGCCTCTCCGCCGCGTCCGACGTCCGCCAGACCCGCCGTTCCGACACCGCGACCACGAAGGTTGGATGGAGTCGTTGGGCAACGGTATGAGAAGGGGTCATTTGGGTCGGAGAGAGCGAGATCGAAGAGGAAAGAGCAAGAAACCGCTCAGTTGATGAGTTTCTTGGATTGCCACAACTTCAATGATGTGAATGACAGAGTCCTATATGATGGTGAAGAGCTGTATCCCATTCATGTTGCTGCTGGGCTTGGAAAGTTTCGGCTGGTTCGAAGTCTGGTGAATGAAGATGCAGACCCCTCTCAGAAGACCTCATGCGGCAGAACCGCCGTTGACTTTGCCAAGCAGCATCAAGCCGGCGAGAGCATTGTGAACTTCCTGAGGAACTTGGAGGATCACAAACCTCTGACCATGCGAGAGTTCTTGCGAAGCAATGCCTTCTCCTCGTCAGTGAATCACCATGGAAGTGCTGCTGTTGAAGCACCCAGGGCCTGCCTAGCAGTGTGACCATCCGACAATCCCAGAATTGGGGAACTGCCAGGGATCCTTATCAAACTCTTGGTGATGTGTGGCTCCGGGTCCATCCCGACCTTGCCACACGAGTTGAAATGACTCCGTTTTTGTAAGCATATGTTTTCAGCACGCGCTGCGTGCTGGCATGAGTCGTGTATAGAAATTATAGAACCGTTTTATATTGTTCTACAAACAGCTATTGCACATTGTAGATCATGATCATACTGTCTTAGAGACAGATGGCAGATGACAATGATGATAGACTTGTGTGGGACTGCGTGGTATTGCGTGGTGAAAGAAACACCTGGGGTGCTTGCGCTTGCCATACTTTGTGCTTTCAGAAAGAGCAGAAGTGAACCTCCGAGTCTTGAATCATTCGGCAGAAGGGGCCGTCGAAACACTGGACTTTGCTTTGGTGAGCCTAGCTAGCTCAGGGATCTCCAAAAGCATCCATTTTTGCAAACTTGAGATCCAGAAAGGTCCATGAGGCAGTCCGAACATGTCACATGTTCATACCGACTGAGGCAGGATCTTCAATTCCTCGTGCATTTGAACATCTTTTTGCGGTCGGTGGTCGGCCGATCGAGGTTCATCCACGAGCTTCTCCAGTGGTGGATCCAATGCTTAGCCACCGGGCAGAACGGAAGAAGGAAAGTGTGCCAGATGTGGTTGGAGTGTCAAGATCCAAGTCCTAGTAAGTCAGAGTCCTTCAGGCAACCTCCAGAGTCTTCTACTCTACACCCTGTCCTCACCGGCCTTTTCTGCACTGCAAGTGATGCTTGTTGCAGCCAAAAGGCGGCAGAAGTTCGTGGACACGTGGTGGAAGAAGTTTCTCTCCTCCCCCTTCCCCGAGGGTGCTCGTCCTCGCAGCGGGGCTCAGTCCAAGTGATGTCTTCCCAGCATGTTGGGGGCTTGGAAGAGCCGCCGCTGCTGTTGAAATTCAAAATACCACAGGTGGGGGATTCCCTATTTACAATCACCCAGCAGCTTTTACAACAGCCCAGCAATCATCTCCGCAGGCACTGATGTACTTGCTTCGCTTCCACCTCGTTGTACAGCTTTTCTCTCTTGCCAAAACGCCGAATGACCTTTTAGATCATTTTAGGATTACACAGTGACAGGTGATGCACTGGACCTTACTGTAAGGCGCCGATGACGCGCCGATGACCGAACTGGACGTGATCAGCTGTTCCAGCTGTTCGGTGAAGAGAGTTGGCCCAGGAGCTGCGTTTTTTCAGATCAACAAAACACCACTCAGGGGAGTTCCGTTGATTCCATGTGATCTCCAACCGCAACGGTGAACGGACGCCCAGGTTCTGCGCATGGAGCCAGCTTTCATCGCTTAGAGGAGGAACGGAGGAGTGTGCGCCTTGGCGACAGTTCCATCAGAACCTGGTGTTCAGACGACATGCGAAGAGGAAGGGTTTCCTACCTGGTAGGGTTTATAGATGTTCATAGATTCATAGCCAATTTACAGTGGGTGAAAAGCTGCAGCTCCAACTTGTACATCCTGGCACTATATATATATATATATATTCGGTTCATTTTTGGTGGGACACCCACCTTATCGAACTGATCAGACGATCGACCAGTTCGATGCGGAACTCTTCACTTGGAGATGGGGAACTCTCCATCTTGTGAGCGTTTGATGGTGAGGTGACAGGGTCTGCGAGATCGGAAATCGCTGGATGGACGCCCTCCCGTTTGATGGAGAAATGAAGCCAGCCTAGGCCTATCGTAGCCTATCGGGATTTCTCCATGAATAGAATGAACATGAATGAACCCATAGAAACATGAGTATCCTGAGTTTTTAGGGTCAGAGATGGCATGAGAAGACCATCAACTCAATCAGCGCTTCTGGGGTGGTCTGGAGACAAATTGGACCACTGAATTTGGGGTGTCCTTTGAGATGAATGGCAATGCAGACTACAGCCTACATTTGTTGACTTCTTGGTCAACACAAAAGCAACAAGTTTGCAGCAAGATCAATCCAGTTAGATCTCAGCTTTTACATGCTTTTACTATGTGCTTGTGAGCCATCATGCTCCTTTTCGGCATATGATTTCCACCACAGTGCCACAGGGTGTTCCCAATCGCTCCATGATTCAAATCTTCAACTGTTTGTCAGCCAAGGCTGGTGGATTTGCAAGCCAGACAACAGGCACACGTAGCCTTGGAGGCTGATGTGAAGCGCTTGTACAAGGAGCAACAAAGCCTGACCTCACTGTAGCGCGAGGGTTGCAAGGCGGTGTTACAGCAGGCAACATTGATACTTTGCGTCATCAAACAGTGATTGAAGATGGGAGGACCTTTTGAGAGAATCCAGCTGACCGTTCTGTAGGATGAGCCAGAGCAAAGCCGTGGGAAGTGCCAGTTGTAGACCCTCCATGATGGATCAGACCATTAGCCAATCCCCTTTTTCAGAGTTCGATTATTTCAATTTTCAACCCAATGTTTTATTTTGTTTGCACTCCCTAGAACTCACATGGAAGTGGATGGCATGGTCCCTTGGAAGATCATTTTCCTCTACCAACTGTTTTTATCACTTTCACGAAACCATGTTAGTTGGGGGGGAGAGTAAATGATTCGTTCGCCGTGACTCACAGACTCACCGCTGAAGACATCGGGGCTTAGTGCCACTCGCTGGTCACCGCCAGGAACTGGAACAAGAACGGGCTGAGACCTTTGAGCAAACGCGGCAGCTCAGAGAACGCCTCGAACACGCACGACGTGAGGGAGTGCCTTGGACTGATTTGGAGGGGCTGGGGTGCTCGGGACACCCCCATGGACGATCGACTGGAGGGGCCTGGAGGGGTGTCACTTCGTGCCCTGGGGTGTCACTCTTGCAAGTCCAGAGGACTGAGGCCTGAACGGGCCTGTGTGTTCTGTCGCTTCGAACATGTCCCTGTTGACTCATGTCGAAGCCTCGTTCACAGTTCATTTCAGCCTGGACTTCCCAGCCCCATCGGCCCGCGTTTCATCCAGAGGGTGCATCTAAGAGGCCCCAGCCTCTTCGGGGGGCGGTGTGCCGTGCGCACCGCGGGGAGCGTCTTCAGCGATTGGAGGCGAACCTGGAGCTGCAAATCTTGAAGTCCGAGATCGGTGCTTCAGACAAAGGCGAAGAAGTGGAGGAAGTGAAACACCAGGTGCGACGGTTTGAGCGGGGAGGGTGGGAAGGCGATGCTGAGCACTTTCTTCAATGAAGCGGCTTAGATGTAGAAGGCCTTCAGCAATTTGTTACAGGTGGAGGTGGTTGAGTTGAGAACATATTTTCTCGACATCAACATCTCTATATACAGTAACTCCTTTTTTTGAAGCAGGATCTTTCAAGTCACATGCTCGGATGAGAGTTTTTGAAGGGACACCCTGTGGCGGCCGCGTTCCGGTTTGCGAAGGGCGTGCCGGTGTTTCGGGACGCGTCCGGGGCAGCGAGGGGGGGAGCCACAGCATGCGTCGGTGTGGACCTTTCATTAGGTGGAGGTGAAGACCAAGGAGATTGTAAAGGCCAGGGGCCAGGGTGCTGGAGCAGAGCGGCCACTCAGTCGCCCGAAAGAATGACGACGCGTTGTATGGGGTAGATGAAGAGCTCCGATCCGAACCATGTCCACTCTCCGAAACAAAGAACATGAAAGAACAACAAAGTGCCTGATGCTTGCACAGGGACACTCCTGACCTTGTCTTTTACATTCTTTTGCTGAAGTCATGAGTTATTACATGTCATTATCGAAGATTCAGCTTTTCTTCCCTGAGAAAGGCCATGCAACGCTTATCCGATCAGCATCGGAGTGCCTTTCAGCATGTGGCCACGCTCACCTCTGACATGTGCACCGGCTCAGTTGACTCTTGCTTCGACTGTCGCTTCACTCGTCGAAGCACTCGCCGAACACTCGGGAGGGAACTCCCGAGCGAGAGAATGGAAAGGAGTCCACTCGCTGCAGTGAGGTTGCGTGCGTGTTCATCGAGGAGTCCAGCCAGCAATGATCTCCTGCAGCAAGGAGTCCAGACCAAAGGTGGGACCTGTCTTGCATGCATGGCACACACGGCATGTCTCGCCCCGCAATGGTTGGATTGTCTTGCTGGATATTTCGCTTCTGCAGCGCAGTGCCCGCTACATAAGACCACTTGGCAGGTCATGAGGTGAAGCAGGCTCCAGCGAAACTGGTCCATCCGCCATCCGAAGAGGTGCCGGGCGCGGAGATGTTGAGAGGGTAGCGGGATGTATGGAGGACGATGGAGGACCTTAATCATTCGGTCAAGAAAGACATGGAAGGACATGGAGCTACTAGTATCTACTAGTAACAAGGGGCATCGCCACTAGTAACAAGGGCATTACTACATTACTATTAGATACTATTAGTAGCAAGAAGCTAGTAGAAAGGTGCCTTACTACTACGTAGTATAGTAGCGAAACGAAAACTCACCGCCCGGACGATCATATATGATCATGGATGCATTTGGCTGCAGGGTGTGGAGCTTCCGTGGTTTCAAGCGATGAAGGCGAACCTGGAGGATCCTTGCTTGAGATCTAGGCAGCCGCTCCTTTTGTGCTTCGGAATCTGTCTCACGGTTGGTGAATTGCCTTGAGGAGTACGGAGATGTGGAGGTCTTTCTGGACCAGCAGCCGCAGGAATGTATGAGCTGCTGCCAAGCGATCGAAGCTTCATATCGGGCAAGGCCTCGAAAGTGCAGCCATGTGACCCGCCCCAATCCTAGGAAACACACGCACCGCCACTGTGAATATTTGCATTTGGTCCGGCAGATTGTTCGAGTCAAAGCCATTGGGGCATCCGGATGCGACCGAATCACTGGCTGTTGTTGGGCAAGTTCATTTCCACTTCACCCAAGATTCGAAGGGAACACATCGGCGGATCCCGTGAATCGCGCCGATGTGAACACAGACCCAATCAGACCCATCTGACGGGATTTCAACTTGGCTTGGCTCGGCCAAGAACTCCGCTCAGCCCACGTTTCTTTTTTCACGCTTATTCACTCGAGCGCCATGCGTGAATTTCAGGTTTTCCACGTGGAATGCTTGCTACATTGCTGGAGTGAGGGTACATGCCCTGTGTGTGGCGCATCCTTCGCGCCAGAGGCAGCAGTCGAAAACAGGAAAACGGTCACAACAGGTTCGGAGCCTCTCATATTCTGGGGAGCTCATTGCGCTGATCAATGGTTTAAGGCTATAACGGGATGTTTAAGGTCAATCTGCAGGAAGTCTTTGACTCATGAAACAAGAGGTGAGTTCTCCAGCATGCTGCATTTACTGTCGTGAGATCTCTCGTGGAGGCTCGCCCCAAGACGTGAGTGCGTGTGAGTGCCGTGGTGGCTCGACCTCCAGAAGTGGGTAGCAACTTGGTGCCTGAGATGTTGCCCTTTCTATCTCCTTTCTTGCAGAAGAAGAGCTTCTTTTTTTGGGGGGGGCAGATCAAGAGGTGGGTGCATTTCGACCTCTTTCGCTGCTTCTTGCACGAGGAAAACACACACGCTTCACCTCTCTGCTCCAGGTCGGTGGACACCGAGGATGGCGCGACCGAGACCGCCCAAGACCGCGCCACCGGAGCGTGTCCGTCCTGACCCGACGCCGGAACGAGGTGTTCGTCGACACGAAGGCGGCCTGAGAGACGACGAAGGCACCAGAGTGGGGCCTTTTGGACCATTCACGTGTGGGTTGGCGAAGGCGGAGCGAAAAGGGGCGGCATGTCCGAAAAGCGGTCGGCGAGGGTCAGCCGAAGTTGGGAAGCTTTTGGTTGCTGAGAACCCTGGATGGCTCAGGTACAAGCTTGAGGTTTGCCAAGATGCAGTAGAGACCTTGGAGAAGATGGGCCAGCAGCCGCCTCAGCTCAGCATACAGTTCATATTCGGGATCTTCATCGCGAGTTGGGACATGTTGGGCCCTCTGCCTCAGGCGGCCCGTCGTCGCCCGGGAAGCTCAGAGGATGTCTTGCCAACTCAGGGCTCCCCAATAACACCCCCCTGGCGAAGAAAAAGAACCCTCAGTGATTGTTAAGACAGGCTGGGCAGTTTATTGTGAAAGCCACAACCAACGAATTAACAAGAAGGCACACTCCCCAACATCGTTCCTTTGCGCCACACCGTGACTTCAGACGGCTGATTTGACTTGGGAGATGAAACGGAGACGAGTTCGGGCGGCGACGGGGGCAGCGATGCCCGCTTTGCCGAGGCCATTTCACTCTGCGGGACGGGTCAAAGTGGGAAGACTTACTTGCCGAAGCCTCAGCGGTTCGGAACTCCTCGAGTTCTTTGCCGTGTTGGCGGCCGATGCGAGAGACTGGTGGCATTGGTAGATTGGTGGCATGAAGTCCTTGAATGAGACCTGGGCTGGAGACGGATTAGGGCATAGAATAAGATGAATGAGATTGTTTCATGATTGTGCATGTTTGAGAGCATGTATATCGTTGTGCGGTCCATGCAGGGCCAATCTCTTGTTGGACCGGCCCCAGCAAGGGCAGCAGGCCAGCTCTTGCGGTCAGCCGAAATGCAAGCAGTTAGGCTAAGTTAGGCATGTACACTCAAAAGCCCGTTGGATGACCAGCTTCCTCTACGAACAGGTGGGTTTTCCACTTCCATGTTAGTGACTTGGAGTCTGTGTCTCCACATTCGGGTCCTCCCTTCTTAAAGGCGAAGAAACATGACTTTGTTCATTATACTTAGAGACGCAACTGGTATACAATTTCTTCCGCCTCATCAGCCTCAAGAAATTTCTCCCGCTTGAAGAATTTCTGCCGTTTCAAAAAGAACTTGTGTTTCAGCGGGTTGCCTATTTCAGGCCTGTGGGATAGATGTGTTCTCTTGGAAGCTCGCCGAAAATGCGCAGGAAGGCCTTCAAGCTTATTATTTGCAAACCCTCCAAAAAAGCACTAAGAAAAAAAACATACGCCGTTTGGTTGGGAATTTACGCCGTTTGGTTGGGACATTACGCCGTTTCCAACATGACACTTATTGAACCGACATGAAACGACGCTTTTTGAAACATCGTCCACAGAGGGTTTCCAACCTGGCGTTTGATAGATGTGTTCTCTTAGCTTGAAGCCCTAACTCCTCAACCGCACAATCTTCATCAAAACCATAAAAATCCAAAAACTTCCGCCTCGCCAGATTTACGCCGTTTCAAGCAAGACTAGTTGAAAAGTAAGTTTTTGGAGGTGACCTAAGTAATTTGCACCTCTCCGGTTTCCATAGATATACTTTGCTCACAAGCTTTAAAATTTGAATCTATTTCGTTTGGATTTGCACGATCACGGTGATCGATCCACCAGGTTCTGCAGGTTGGAGGAGGCTTGTGGTCCACCGCAAGGACCGAAGGCGTGGGCTCGCACCCGCCCTCCGCCCTCCGTCATCCGCAGCTGCTCCCGCCGCCAGGTGTGTGGCTTTGGGCCGGAGGCGTCGACAAAGACGAGAGGCCGGACATGGTGAAGAGCGGTCTTGCGGTGGAAAGAGCGGTCTCTTGGGGATGGAAAACAGATGGAACAAGACCAGAAGAATACTAGGAGCAAGGACGCTACTACGAGCAAGTGTGGAGCCGAGAGTCTTTATGCCGAAGAGTGGAGGAGTCCCCTGATCCTTCTCCTGGACTGTGAGGCTGGGCCGAAGACGCAGACCGAGCCGTTTTCAGAAGCTTTAGATACTGCAGTCTAAGATGCTAAAGATTTGCAGTGTTCGAAAGATATCCTAGAGACCAGATTATCTTGGTACACCTCCTTGGCGCCTCTCACGCGCCATCTTTGCAGGGGTTTGGAGGAGCGGGTGCCACCACCACAGACGACAGCTGTTAGCTTCCCAGCTCGACCATCTCTCGAACGGTTTCAAGAGTGGTGTCTGACAGCTTCCTGACAGCAAACCTGAGGCCATGGTGCATCACGAGATATGCAAATCCTGGCCTTGTCGTGGCTGTCTCTTGACCCAAGTCAGTCGTGGACCAGATCCAATTCCACTGTTGTCTTTGACCTCCCGAAACGACGCAATATCAAAACCGCACGTCCTAAGGTTGTCCTCCGCCCTTGCTCGAGACCAAGCTGAAGAACTCGCAAAAAAGAACTGCACTTGGAACATCTTGGAACGGCCACCTGACGAATGTTTGGTCCTTTGAACACACCCTGGCTCCTCAAAAGCACCGGTCGATCACACAGAGCTCACCATGTGTTCCTCTTTCATTCGCGACAGTCGCGATCTCCAGGGCTCCGAGGATCTCCGATGTCCTCGACCGCAGGTCATGAATTGCACCGGCAGCCTCAACGAGGCGCGAACGAAGAAGGACCGTGTTCACGCGCGTGTTCACGCGGTCCTGCTTCTGCGCAGGTTTTTATGCGAGCATTTTTTGGCGGGGAGGTGATGTGAATCATGCGCATCTCACGACTGATGTCCAAACATGTCCAAAACTCTTGAAGATATTGAAAGGCATCTATGTCACCTTTCGACTTGTGTGCCACACTAGAGATGTGAATCCCCATCGAAGCCGTTCGGAACACTTTCGACCATCACCAGCTGCCAAACATGTGTTTGTCTCGCAGGGAGAAACCATGGGAAACCCTTGAGGCCCCCCCAAAAGCCTCGTTTGACATCACATTGCATTTTCCCCAATTCAGTTTGAACCCCAACAAGACAAAAGAACACGCTTCCCACCTCAAAACCCTCCGCGGACTCTCCGCGGACTCGTCCTTCCCGCGCGGAACCGAGCGCGGAACCCGGCGAGGCGCTCTTCGACCAGTTGAAATCCGCGTCGCGCTTCGGCGATCTGGTGGAGGAGCGAGGCACTGAGGCAGGACGGAGCGGATGGATGGAGTCGCGAGGCACTTGAGCAGGCAGTCTGGTATACACAAAAGTTGACAACTCTTGGATACTCTTAGGCGATTGTCATCAATTGTCCATTCTCCTGCCTGCTTGGGTAAGTCTTCATTGGTGGATTCGGCAAAAAAAGTATATTTAGTCAAGTTTTAGTGCTTATCCATGTGAGGGGCTGGACTCAGCGGCCTTGATGACATTGGACATCCCAGAGTATGAGGATCCTTGGCACTGGGCGGTACCTTCTGAGGGGTGCCATCTGTGCTGCAGCTCTATCTCAAAGTGATCTGGGCATTATTTTCTTATGTCAGACTGTAAGACTCTAAGACCCAACTCTCCAAACTTGCTTTGTTTGTAGGGTCTATGGCACTTGCTCTAGGCCTATGGGAAACCAGCGCTGCTGTGGTTCTTGCGAGACTTTGATGAGCCATGGCTGAACAGAGGATGGGGTCATTGGCTTAAGTATATATACCCTCCCTCCAACAAACATGGAAGTGGACCACCCCCAGTTTGGAGAGGAACACATTTTGTTTTCCACCGGTAATGTTCCACTTCCATGATTGTTTTAGGGAGTGTATATGATGTTATATGATAAGTTATATGAGGCACCCTTGCTCCCCATCACCTTAAGTTAGATATGCTTTATGCCTGCACTTCGCACCTACTTTTTGTCTGCTCCAGTTGATAGGAAGCTGAGCAATAGCTTTATTGTTGTTATTGTTTTTTTTTTTGATAACATTCATCTAGGTGTACTTTTGCAATGTTAGCGAAACCTTGAGCGTACATGTTCAGCTTCCATGTTTGTTAAAAAAAACGGCCGGAACATGCTTTCCAACTTCAATGTTGGCGTGGAATTTGACGGGTTTATGAGAGTGTTTTACTAACCACTTAGACCATCTTAAACCATTTCTTTCTGTTGAGATGAGATGCAGCTACTTCTGGTCATTAGCGGGAGTGTATCGTTTCTGAAAGAGCTGAGCAAGCAGCCGAGTCTGTACCGGACCCCAAGCAAGATCGAACTGAAAGTAAAAGATAGATAAATATATCATATATAATATATCCAATGATCAATGTGTTGCTCTATGTTGTTCCTGTTCATCAGATCACTTTGACGTTGTTGCCACCTATCATTTTTGGGTTTCCATGTTGTGAGACTCGCGTAGTTGCCTTGAAGGCGACTCGTGCACAGATTGTAGCACATGTCATGGGGCTGGCAAAGGCGGTCGTGGGAACCCCCACCACACCAGTCCTGCCTTTCGCCGTTCCCGTTGGAAGCCCAAGCATTCAAGAATTGAGGAAGCTTTAAAACAGCCAGACCCAAAAGAGATGTAAGAAAATGGTCGATGAGATAGAACCCTGAGAACATGCTTTATGACTGAGGAAGTACCCCAAGATGAGAAGGCGCCCTCACTTGCTTTGCCGTCGGTCACACATGTTCACACCTTCGGTCCTTGGTTTGCCGTCATTCACACTTGCTCGTCCTGGTCGCAGGGGAGAAGCATGACAGCCGACGAGTATCTGGAGAAGAGTCTCCACGAAGCATCCAAGGCGAAGAGCTCGTGTCCAAGTCTGGGTCAGAAAACGGTCTGCAAACCGGGTCAAATAGATGGTGTCCTGATCGTCCTAATCATCCTAATCCTAAGGTGTTTCAGTCAGAGCATCACTCTTGGTGTGTGAGAATCAGGCCTCTAGAAATCATCATCATCATCATCATCATCATCATCATCATCATCATCATCATCATCATCATCATCATCCACAGTTGCAGGGGTTTGGATAGGCCCAAGTCAGACCACAGAAACAGTCTGACGAAAAAGTTGTGGTACTGTTCGATTGTCAAGATTCCAGCCGCTAGACGTGTGGTGCCACCCACATCACTGGGTCATAGCTGCTGTGCGCAGCAACGGGACCATGAGGCCATATTTGTTTGTTTATCTTTGTCCAGGAAAGCTACTACACACAACGTGTTTTTTCTTTTTTTAAAAATTGTACCTCAAACGGCCCAAATTGAGAAGACATTGCCACGATTTTGTTTTGTTCTTTTTTTCCTCACAGCAGCTACGCCTTCAGCAGGTTGCAAGGTTTCACCTGCTTGAGTGTCTATGTTGCAGAAGCTTGCGCTTTGGATGAGAAGACACATACGTGATGACCGTACCCTGATTTGACCCGCAGGCAGTTTTGGGCAATGCGGCCATTTCCTTTCACCTTTGTTTGCAGGGACTAGGATACTGCACTACACCAGCTAACCCAGAAAAAAACAAACAAACACATTGCACCGGCATAAGCGGCATAAGTAAGACAACTCACGACCCACGAGGCACCGGAACTCGCGGTCGCTGGGTCGAGAGAAATACCGCTGGGCTCGAGCTTTCGAGCTGTGCACGGTGATGGGGGGGGACTGATCCAGTAAACCCCAGCCATCAGAGCTCTGCAAAACTGGAAGCACAACCTTTCAGAGCAACAAACCTTCCAGTTTTGCAGAGCAAAAAGGTCTCGGCTGCGAGCGGGCGCCCGCAAGTAGAGAAGCAAGAACCCCGGTAGTTTGCAGCTTTTTGCAGCTATGTGGGGAAGAAAAGGGAAACACAAATTGAATGCTTACACATGCTAACACAGCGTATGTGATGATGGCGACTTATAGCGACTTAAGATAAAGTTCAAGCTCCCAGATGATGCAATTTCTTTTCTCAACGCCCGTTTTCTGCACCGGCAGGAAAGTGCGCGGAAAGCTGGAAGCGTTCGTCATGGTCTTCTGAAATTCTTCAGGCCCGCAGGGCGGCATGAACCGTCACCACCCGTTTGAGTGGGCCAAGTTATTGAGCTTGATCCAGCGCCAGGATGCCCAGCAGTACAATAATTGATAAATTCTGCCTCAGTTCCTGTTCAGGGATAACGGGACCCGCAGGAGGACAACTCACAGAAAAGAACATAGCACCGCACCGCAAGGCCTTCCATATGTTGTGGGGCAGTAGAGGCTTGTCCATGTGAGAGCAATAGCTATAAGTGTCCATACTCGGTAAAAAGGCAATGGCAATAGCAGGACCACAAGCCAGAAGATACAGACAGTACCAATGCATCTTTAGTTTTGAATTCTACAAAGAGTTTGTTCAAAAGATTTCCAAAGGAGGGACGTCAAGGGCGTTTTAAAGACACACCGTTTAGACGTGCTTTTCTTCTATTCCTATACAAAGAGATTTCATGTCTCATGCTGCCCTGGTCGCTGGTTTCAGGCATCGGAGCTGTCATTTTGCACCCAGCCCTGGTAGCCGTCCTGAAAGCGTCTCGGCAAAAATATGGCCAGGTACGGAGTGGAAACACGGCGATGACATGCGATGTCTCGATCTTGGATGGCTGGAGGTTCGCAGGTGGATGAACGGGTTTGGCTACGGAAACTGAATTGATCAGTCAGAGCGAGAAGCGAGATAAACCATGTGGATGAATGACCGTTGACTCTGGAGAAGTGATTGCATTCGAGGCTTGAGCTACTCGGCGCTTGCGAAGCCATTCAAGGCGCCCAAGATCGTCAACGACACAGATCTGACTTGGGCTTGCGGCATAGGTGCTTGACTCCTGGCAGTCGTTCGTAGGTTTTTCCACTTGGAACGGGGTCTTGTGGGAGATATTTGATCCGATCCCGCTGTGATCCCGTTTCAACGAACCTTCGGGCCCAGACAAAATTATGGTGCATCAATGAACTTTCAACAACTCCATGCAACCACTAGGAGCAAGGACGCTACTAGGGGCTCCTGGCATCGCTACTAGGAGCAAGGACGCTACTAGGGGCTCCTGGCCTTACTACTAGGAGCAACTCCATGCAATAATGACAAATGCTGACTTGTTGGCGCATGCTGTGAGGCAGCGGTGGAGCAATTCCGCTCCAAGCTCTTCTCCACAGCGCTAGCTTGCCCAAAGGTGCGTTTTGTACTGTACCATGTCGTCCAGATTGGTTTTATTGCTGTGGGATGGCAACCAAGTGCCTAATACGAACTTGAGAAACATGGAGCTGCAAACTGTTTAAATGTAGAGAAGTGCCATTATAATACGCACTCCTCGGATCTCCTCGGTATGTATGCGGACATACACTGACATACACGTTTGGTTTCCGGTCCCGGTGGTCATGCCCATTCTAGCCATTTTGGCATTGATATCGGGAAAGAGAGCTTGCAGCATGGGTCAGTGGTTAGCACAAGGCTAAGCACCCGTTTGAATTCTACAATATAATCAGAAATCGCTCTAAAAGGATCCTTGGTGCCGAATGTTTTGGTATGTTTTGGTCCACTTCGCCATGCCCATGTCACGAGGCTCCGTGGGTTCTGGGTTGGCTGCCACAAGATGATCGGGTTGTGAATCACCGTTGCCCTGGCCAACTGGTCCGTTATGATTCGTTAGGATCCGTTGCTACTTCGCTCCACCAGGCGGTGAACGGCAAGCCACTGGGATGCGTGGCCTTTACAGTTCAGAACCCGGAAAAACGAGGAGAGAAGCCTGCAGCGGATGAGAGCTGCCGATGAGACACTTCGGCTTAGTAGGGATCAAGTGATTAGAAACGCTCTGATTTCGCAGGAATGTACTAACTGAGCTCATATGGTTCAACCAGGCGGTAGAGTCATTTGGATGGGTTTGCACCGATTGAATCGATTGAGATCCACATGATCCAACCCCTACTGAGGTTGGATTAAGGTTCGAAGGAAGACCATTTCCACAATGAATTGGTCCATTCGCAGGAGATCCCAGGAACCTCTCCATCTCATCGGTCACCTCTCCGAGGCGCTTTTGGGGCAACTTGTGGCCGGGGTCAACGATGGCAGGTGGGAACCTGGAGATGTGGAGGTGGTGATGACAGACCTTGGCAGAAAGGTCATCTCAGGTCTAATATGGTCTAATCTTTAGCAGAAAGGCCAATCAGTGCTCATCAAAGGAAGGACACCATATTTTTTTAAATTTGCTTTAACGTGAAGGGGCACAAACTCATCCAAAACCAGTGGATTCGTAGTTTTGCTAGGTGCTTCGATTATAATTTCTGCAATAGAGAAGCTCTGCTGGAGCTGCAACTTTTCGGCTTTTGCACCGGAGAGGGGTCAACGAGTCACCAACACATCACGATGCGTTTCGCTTTCGCAGGGCCCAACCCCAGATGTTGAGACTCGCCTCATGCTTAAACGAAACCAGGATCCTCAGCCTGCATGCAGCTTGGGAGTCCGTGCAACACACCTTTTGCGGCTCATTGGCGGACGAGCTCCGGGTCAGGAACCTCGGGACTGGTTTGGTCTGGTGGCCCCAGTCACTGGGCACCATCTGTGCCTATCATCCCAGAAGAATTATCACTGCTAGGTGATCAATTACCCAAGTTAGACGTAGCAATGGGGGCATCCAACATCCAGATTGAAGTGCTCTTCCGTCAGACAACCCTTGAGACAGATCCACAGATGAGACATGGTGGAAGAAAGTTAAAGGAGTTTGGGTTGAAATAAATCCCACACCAAATGGGAATGGTCGATGAAGAAATTGATGATATATGATGATCATTCGGCAATTCGGTCCGGCCTCAGTTTGAATGTATATATATATAATATAATGGAACCAGTTGGAAACCCTCCATGGTTAGGGCCTTCTGAGAGCCTTTGGATCCCGAAAATCAGAACAGAGTCTCTCATGATGTTTCCCTGTATTTCCGTTCCGAGTTGGACGTGTTTTCTCTCTCGCCCGGCCGTGAAGAACCATGCTGCCGGCCGTGGATTGAGCGCGCCGCACGTGTCGCCCCAGGCCGAAGCTTCAACTCTCTTCCAGACCTTGGCGGCTGGGCGCAGCATCGCGGGTGGTGCAAAGCTCCCATTGAGTGAGGAGGTGCAGCACCGCCCAGGGCACCGAGCGAGCGCCGCGCAGTTCACGGAAGGAAGAGACGCGCCGTCCCACTTATGGGCCTGGGGAAAAAAGACAAACGCTCACCAAAGCACTGGGCAGGCTGTCCATTCTCCTGTCTAAACAGCGGCTTCCACTACAATTGTTATCATATGTTATCATTCAGATTCATTCAGTATACGTATATAATATGTTGGAAAGTACATGACTTCCGTACAGTCACCCACACATGTATATGTCCGCAAACCTTACAGGCCCAAATCCCCTTTGAAAAGGTGCGCGAGCCGCTTTTCATGGTAGCGGAGCCCTGGCCGTAAGAGCCAGGGCTCCCGCACACGTGCACTACGACGCGGCCGACGGCCGCGACCACATCTTCGAGTTGGAAAGGTGTTTGGATTTGTGAGCTGCTGATCCTGGCCTGTTTGGCCGGAGGATTTGCAGTTGGAGGAGCACACCAGGAGATCTGCTATTACCAGAGCGGATCAGGACCTGCCGGTCCTGTGAAGATCAAGAGAAGGACCCTCCACAGCGTCTACGTGGAGGCCGACGAGTACATCGGGAAGCTGAAGTGGCTGAAGAGCGACAGAGCAGCCAAAGCCAGTCTCCTGGTGAGAGAGAAAAGTGGAAAGAAGAAGAAGAAGAGGGATTGTCGTGAGCTCATAGTGATCGTTCCTGCGAGCTGGCAGTTTCTTGACAAGCTAGAGGCAACGAGAGAGGACCTCGAGGAAGGACAAATTGGTGCCTTGGTAAGCCAGTGGAAGTTTTGGGAAGTCCTCAACTACAGCGGCATACCATTCGAGGTTGAACAGGACGGTGCACACCTTACCTCCAGGTGCTACTATCCAAAGGCAGTGCAACTGCGAAGGATGGCAGAGGACAGTTTGAAGCTGGTGGCAGCAGCTTTGGAAAAGTTGAGTGTGAACCAGGCCTCACAATCCTGGTCGAGGCATTTGAAGCCTCCTGACGTGTTCAAACCGGACACGAGAGACAATGAGTTGAAGATGTGGAGTGATTGGAAGTTTGCATTTTGCAGCTACATCCGAGGAATAGATCCAGCAATGGCAGCAGCCATGGATGTGGTGGAAAAGAAGATCAACAGTGACTACACCCTCGATGATATGACCGACGACATGAAGACGATGTCAGTGAGGTTATACAGTGTGCTCACATCATACCTTCGAAACCGCCCTCTGAAACTGGTGAAGCACATCAAGCAGGAGAATGGATTTGGTGCGTGGCAGTTGTTGTTAAAAGAGATGCAACCGGCAACAAGGGCAAGAAGCCTTGCATTGCTCACACAGCTGTCAAGGGTTCAATTTGCTGAAGGGAAGTCATTGAGTGAACAATTCCCTCAGTATGAAGCAATTGTCACTGAGTACGAGCGCATCAGTGGACACGTCTATGCTGACGATGCGAAGGTGGCCTCAATCCTGCAAGGATGCCCAGCCTACATGAAGCAACATCTTCAGTTGTGGGTCGATGACAGTACGACCTACGACTCATTGAAGGCGAAGGTGATGCAGCTGGAGTCGCTTTCTACAAGATGGGATGCGAGCAACAGCCTGTCTCTGCCGACCAGGGCAGGCGCAGATGAGAGCACACCCATGGAAGTGGACTACATTGGGAAGTCCAGCGACAAAGGAAAGAGAGGAGGAAAGAAAGGAAAGGATGGAAAAGGCAAAGCAAAAGGTAAGGACAAAGGAAAGTCGAAACAAGAAGGCAAAGGATTATGGAAGTCCTTTGACAAGGGCAAAAGTGCTTGGGAGAAAGGACAAGGGAAGAAAGGCAAGAGTGCTGAGAAAGGGACAAAAGGCAAGACAGGAGGATGCTTCATTTGTGGCAAACAAGGCCACATGGCGAAGGAGTGTTGGAAGCGCGTGCAGCAGGTAGAAGAAAATCCTGGTGGGGCAGCAAGCTCATCGTCAGGACAAGCTACAGCAGTAAGAGAAACCACGCAGGTGAAGATGGTGAGAGTTGAGGACCAGGCCACGGAGATCTTTGACCTTACGCAGTATGAAGAGGTTGTCGAAGAAATTCAGCATCCTTGGAGAGTGAATGCAGTCTATGAGGAGCCCAGCGAAGAGGAGTTCTTTGACTGCCGAGAGCCTGTTGTGTGGACACCCAGTCACGTTCCGGTGATTGCAATGGACATGCAGATGCATGAGGGAGAAGGAAAAGGAGCCAAGTTCATCCAGATGGTGAAAGTGGAAGCGGTCATCCAGGACAGCTGTCTAGTCACGCTGGACAGTGGTGCAGATGTTTCAGTCCTACCACTACGCTATGGAGAAGTGGGGACTTGGCGACCAGGTTCAGAAAAGTTGAAGATGGTGGACGCACAAGGCACAAAGATAGCCCATCAGGGGCTGACAAAGGCAAAGATCAAGATTGAGGATAGTGAAGGAAAGGACATCGAGTCGATAGAAGAGTTCGTGTTGGGGAATGTCCAACACCCCATACTGTGCGCTGGTCGACTCCTGAGAAAAGGTTGGAGCATCTCAGGAGGAAGTGATGGAAAGATGTTCCTGTTCCACGAGGAGCGGAATTTGAAGATTCCAATCAACACAGAAAGGAATTCCCTTCAGTTCGAGGCTAGGATCTTTGGCGTTGAAGTGGAGGAGCAGAGTAAGAAGGTCAGCCAGAAGGAGGACTGTGCGAGAGTGTGTGTGCTTAGAGGTTTCCTGAGCAAGTATGTGGAGGAGCTCGAATTGTCCCCAGGGTGGCACCGGCTACCGAACGGAGTCATCGTGTACAGCGACCCCGTCGCTATCAGGCTGGCAGATGCAAGGCAAAGTGTTGATGGAGAGTGGAGAGCAAGAATGACACTCATGAAGGACAAGGATGGTATGTGGAGGCAGCTAGAAAATGTTGAAGACTATGCCAGTCTTGGCGACAAAGCCTTCAGGAGGGTGACTACAGATCAAAACCCTCAGAGAACCCTGAGTTTCTTCTCCCCGAGTCGCCTGAAAGACTACTGGGAGCAAGATGCCGAAGTCCCGACGTTCCCATACCCTGAGCCAGAAGGTGAGATCAAACACCACGAGTGGTCGGAAGAAGAGCAAGAAGATCCAGAGGAGCTGGAGGAGAAATGGGAAGCCCAAGACATCGAAAAGATGGTCCTAGCAGAGAAGACGGATGAGGTTGAGCTTGATGAGGTGGTATTCAATGAAAAGTCATCAGTTAAAGAGCTGCAGTTGGCATGTACAGAAAGAGGTCTGCCATATACAGGGAGCAAGAAAAGGATATTAGCCCGCCTGATCGCGTTCAAGATTGACTTGGAGAACAAATTGCAGCTGAGCATTGCCAACAAGCTTTTCAAAGAAAACCAGAGGAAGCCCATGACGCTAGGACAACCAAAGCTTCCGTCATTGAAGGAACAAGAACTGCACTTTGTCACTCATTGGCCGTACGCTCCATGGTGCCAAGCATGCATGGCAAGTCGGGCAAAGGAAGACAAGCGCATCTCCGAGAAGAAGAAACCAGAACTGGGAAAGAATGTCATCGAGCTGGATTTCTTCTACACGTACACGGGTGAAGAAAGGAGGATGGAAGACCAGAAGGCTCCAGATAAAGTGCAAGAGAGACAAGACCAGTTTGGTACATGTCTCATTATGGCATCGAGCGAAACGAAAGCGATCCATGTTGTACCAGTTCAAAGCAAAGGCACTGCAAGTCTCAAGCACATCACAGAGGAAGTCATCAGATTCACATTGGAAAATGCCTCGAGAGATGCATGCATTTTGCAGGCCGACTCCGAGAGGGCAACACGACAGATTTTGAGAGCAGTGCAACAAGTCAGGAAGGTGATGTGCCTGGAAACAGAGATAAGGTTGACAGGACCAGGCCAACATCAATCAAATGGATTGGCTGAAAGAGCGGTGCAAACAGTGAGGCGCTTGGCAAACTGCCTGAGAGCATTTGCTGGTGACAAGGCAAACATCGACATCCTGGGCAACTTTCACCTGTACCCGTGGGCATTCAAACATGCAGCTTTCCTGATCAACAGATTTCGAGTTTTGGAAGGAACAGGAAAGACATCATACGAACTGGGCACAGGTCACAGTTACAGAGGGAAGCTGGCATTGTTCGGTGAAAGTGTGATGTTCAAGCGAGTGGTGAGAAACAAAGGTTCAGATGGCTTCATCAGACGCATATGGTGTGGAAAGCATGTGTGGAATGACATGCACATCGTCCTCACGCCCGAAGGTGCCTACGAAGCCAGGACAATCAGAAGGTTGGCTGCAGAACAGTCATTCAATGCCCTGGAAATGGTGATTGCAAAAGGATTGCCGTGGAATTACTCCCCTCAAGGAATTCTTATGAAAAGGATCGTGGGTAGACAACAGAGAAATCCCACAGTTGAAGCAGACATCAACCCAGATGAGCTTGAGGAGATGTCAAAGACGGTTGCGGCAGGGTTGGTCACACCAACACCGGGTTTGGCCGCACAACCAAAGACACCAGTCGGGGTATTCGCAGCGCCAGGAACACCAGCACAAATTGGAGAGGCGAATGCTGGATTGAAGAGAAGTGCAGAAAGACAGCAAGAAGAAGAGGCAGAAGCAAAAAGACAGGACACGACAGAATCGCCAAGAAAGATGGTGACAAAGAGAGGAGGTGCAGAGGACGAGCAAACAGATGAGAAGAGACAGAGGACAGGTTCAGAGGAATCAGTTGAGATGGAAGAGAAGAAGGAGAAACCAAACAAAGAAACAGAACATGAAGCAGAGGGGTCTCCGAGCATGAAGAAATCAAGGTTGTACCCACCGCATTATGCAGGTATAGAAGCCGTGGAAGTACATGGAGACGAAGAAGCAGGACTGGACTACATGCCTGAAGACATCACGGAGGAGCATATGGGATATGGAGGTGAAGAAGATGAAAATCCTCCGGAAATGTCAGAAGATGAGATTGAAGTCCTGGACGAAGAGGCAAAGGAGAAGGAAATTGAGAGAATGCTGAAGTTACCAGCAATGCAAGAATCAAAG